TAATCTGAGATTCTTAAATGCGTAATAACGCTTGAAATATTTTTTTGTGTATGTTACAATGTCAGTTAGAAACTCCAGTTTAAAATTAGGGACGCTAGAATAATCAATAAATACGTGTTATTTCTTCTATTTTAAAGTAGAATATTTCAAGTATTTTGATTAGATAGGCAGAAAAAAAGAGGTTTTGTTCTCGTTCGTCGTTTAGAACGAGTGTTATTGTTTGTTGAAGTTTGTAGGCAAAACTAGCTGCAAGACGGGAAGGGGAAATGATTTGTGGCGGAATTTGTAGAATGTAACGCAGAGGGGAGTCGTAGAAAAGATTTGAAACTAGGTAGACGTTTTTGCGGACGAAGGGTCAAACGAGATCGACCGAAAGATGTAGAATGTTGGGGCAAGTCGATTCAATTGTTTTTTTTTTGTGATGTCTTAAGACCAGTCAAAGTGATGATACTCTTTGCAATAACAGTTTTGACAGAGTAGTCATTAGAAGATTTGTATAGATACCTACTGGAAACTTTTGAAAAGTATTATATATGTCCCCGTCGTCTGCTTTGTTACTCCACCAAACCTGATTTAATCGTCGTTCCTGAGTATGGAAATGGTTTCCTGTTTTCCAGTTTCGAGAATTTGTCCAAGTAGCTTCCCCAGAGATGTAGCAAGTTTTTTTCGTTTTAAAAGTAAGTGGCGAAATATGTGAAAAATAAGGTAACAATATATTAATTTTTCCAAGTAAAATAGACATTTCTAATAATTGCTTTCATTAAAATAAAAGAATTTGTAATAATTAAAGTTTTATATTATGTTATGAATCGTAGCTAAAAAATGTCATATTTTATTCTGATTTAAAATGTTATGTAGACATATGACATTTGCTCTAATCCATTGTTGTAAAACATAAAAAAGATATTTCATATATAAGGTTAAATTCTACAGTATTTTCATAAAACGGATATCCTTAAGTTTTGATAATCTAATTTGGCCATATTATAACCTAGGAACCATTTCAAGAATTTTTGTAGCAATCTCTTTTGTAACCAAATAACACGCAAGTTTTTGTTGATTTGTTATATAGTATGCTCTTGTGTAATCTGTATATTTGAGACAAAAATAGACGTTTGATTTGTTTGTCTGATCCATTTTGTGTTTTAATTTAGAAAAGTCTCCTAATCCTTGTATGTATTTTTGATTTTAGGAAAGAAGAATTTTTTCTTTCCTTCAGCAAACTAGCATCCTTCGAAGCGGCGTCCTTATCTTAAATTGCTAGAATCTTCTTTTTTTGTTGTATTAATTGCCCAGGAGATTTATGTAAGTATCCCTTTGTTTTCATTTTGTAGATACCCCAATCAGACCAATTTTATTTCAACTTATCCACCACCCAGCTCTCCAACAACCCTCTGAGTGCCGTACGCACTAATTTCGATTATTTTGTTTGCCCAATCTTCTCCCTCATATTCTTACCCTGAGGTAAGCAAAATAGTTCGTTACAATTTCAGAAGGATATTCAATTATTTAGTATATCAATAGGAAGAGTACTATCAACCTCAGATGGTTGTTTGATCTGTATGTACATAATGTCTTCTAAAACATGTCAAAACTTGTTTATTTGGAACAAGTTATATACATTGAGTAGGGCATTACATGAATCATATTGTTACATATACAGTCTTCCCTGCAATTGATTCTATGTATTGCGTTTACATTATATTGCGTAAACAGTACGATACGTAATTATCAAGATTGGATGTTTATTTCAGAGAAAAATTTAATTCTTTTGAGTGTCAAATAGGCGAGTTATAAATATTTTCATTTTACAAGCGTCAATAAAAAACTGAATTCTTTTGATTGTCAAATAACCGAGTTATAAATATTTTCATTTTACAAGCGTCAATAAAAAACTGAAAATTTGGCCAAATGAAGAATCCGAATAAAAAGTAAACGTTTCTTGCCTGGTATGAAACAGGAATAATAACACAGCCAAACAAGTAATCATGGCTCTATATCGGTCACCATTGACCTGACCAGCATTGTTTTTGAAGTAGTACGGAACACTTCATTCCACAAGCGCACAAAGCATATAAAAAAGTCAGTTTTTCTGGATGTAATGGTGTCTCAACATACACTTGAGGATTATCTTCACTCCAAATACGACAGTTTTGTTTGTTGGCATAGTCATTCAACCAAAAGTGAGCTTTATCGCCAAACAAGATTCGTTTATGAAAATCAGGATCAGGATTGAATTAGAAGAGGAATTTGATTGCGGATGGACAGGAACGGACTCGGAGAGTGAGAATGAAATCGGAAAGGTAATATCTGATTCGCAACAACCTGCGGCTGAAGAAAATGTGGATTTACAAGCTGTGGCTGAAGAAACTGTAGATGAATGTTCCGACATTTGTTGGGAAGATGTACCAGGTGAGATGAATGATTTTCCGTTTCCAAAAAATCAGTCATTCAATACAGTTCTACCAGAAAACACTCCAATCTGTTTTTTTTCGTAGTATACTTACTGATGATATTTTAGAATTTATAGTTGATGAAACAAATATTAACGCGGAAAATATTTTTTTATCCGTGCAGACACAAGAAAAATCTAGAATTTGTTTATGAAAAAATGTGACGAAGGAAGAATTATTAATATTTTTTGAAATATTTTTACATATGGGTGTTGTACGACAACCAAGGATGCGCGATTATTGGAAACGGGACCCTTTATTTAATAACGCTATAATTTCTTCTAGTATGAGTAGGAACACGTTTTTGCTGATACTGCGAGCACTTCATTTCTCCAGAAATCCCCCACCAGGTGAATCTAGACCTGAAGATAGACTTTACAAAATAAGACCGATAATAAATTTCTTTAACGAAAAAATGGCAGAAATATTTTATCCAGGATGTGAGTTATCTCTATATGAATCCATGGTTCTTTTTCGCGGCAGGCTTATGTTCAAGCAATACTTTACAAACAAGAAACACAAATATGGGATTAAGTCTGATTTATTAACAAACCCTAGAGGTATTGCTCAGAAATTTGCTGTATATAGTGGTATGTTAGACGATACTTGTCCTACATTTAATGGATGGATTATTAAATGTTGGCCATCATATTTATATGGACAACTATTACAACAGTTTTTCTTTAACCAGAACTCTAATTACGAAGCAGACTCACTGCACTGGTACACTTCGGTCAAATAGAAAAATGACACCCAAAGCTGTTATTTCAACTAAGCTGAAAAAGGGAGAAACCATTGCGCAATATGCTAAAGGAGTAATGATAGGAAAGTGGAAGGATAAGAAGGATGTTTTATATATTTCAAATAAATATGTCAATACAATGGTTGAAGTAGAAAATAAAAGAAAACAAAAAGTTACTAAGCCATTGCCTGTCGCCGAATACAATAAACATGTCAGGTGTAGATCACCTTGATCAAATGCTTTCATACTACCTCCACGAAAGAAAAACAATAAGATGGCCAAAGAAACTTTTTTTTCCATATTATGGACAGAAAACGTCATCATTTGATTTTAGAATGGCAATCATAAAATAAATGAACTTTTACCTCCTTATGAGAATTTACATAAAAAAAAGGCATCAAATATCGAACATAGGCTAATAAAATGGGAAGCGACTCAGGTAAAAAACAACTCGACAGAAAAAGATGTCAAAGCCGTTCCAAAGAAAAAAAAACGGACGGATACAACATACGTGTGCGAAATTTGTTCTGGAAATCCAGGATATTGTCTAAATTGCAGAATCATAATTCACATATAGAATATAGCAGTAAAAGTTTTGTTAATATTAAAGTTTGTTTTTGTTACATGTTTTGAAATAAATATTGTTTTACTGTAGAGTATAGACAACGCTTATAAGCGTCAACGGTACACGGATATGAATGCCGAAACTCAGTGCCACTGCCGCTTGTGAGCGTGTTTTTTTTACCTTTTCTTAAATATTTGAAATAGGAATTATGTACATATAAAACATCATTATTCATAGTTATTAGCAACGGCATACCGTTTTTTCTATTTTTTTAATTTGGGACCACGTAAAAGTAAGATACAAAATAGCGACATCCAACCTGTTAACTAACTCTCTAACCCCTTTTTTTGATTTTCATTTAAGAAGATATATTTTTCATTGGTAATAATGATTTCAATAGTTACAACTATACCTTATTCCATTAAGCGATGCAGGGCATATAAACAACGATAAATTTAACAGATATTTGTTAAAGATGTTCCAAATGAGTCTACTCGTTCCGATAAGTAACAGTATAATTATGACACTTTATTATTTTTTTTCTTCCCTCAAATATTCATGTTTATTGCATAGCAAATAAATTAATGTTATCACTGAATACATAGTAAGTGAAAAAATAATCCGATTTATAAAATTAATGAATGTTTTATGCATAAATGCAAGTAACAGTTCTTCAAAAATATTTAAAAACTAACTGAAATGTTCATCTTTATTTCGTCTGCCGAGGTTTTCGGTAGCTCATACCGGTTCGGACACGATTTAATGTTTACATCTTCCTGCATCGCTTAATGAATTTTACTATAGTTGTTGTAATCTTTATAATTTGGCACCTCGAAACGGCGTCCATTTTAAATTGCTAGAGGTATTTCCTGTTGTTTTGTTTGTTAACTGCTACTCCAAATAAACGCTTAGTGCCGTTCGCATAAGTATCGTTTATTTTGCTTGCCCTATCTCCACTCCAGTAACTTCTGTCATAATTTTCTACCTCTTATAGTAATACTCTATGTGGTAGGCAAAATATTTCATTACACAATATATATTCTTGACTATAAACTATTAATAAACAAAATTTTATTGGAATTTGTTTAGTAGTTTAAATGTTTAAAAATTCGCGAGGAACTTTGAAAAGCGTATTTAAGCTCTGAGTTTTTTTATCCAGGTTTTTTATTCGTTCAATTAGATCTTCCGATTTTTATAGTTTCTGGACTCGATTAAGGGTGAAAAGGTGAAAAAAACGATTATCAGAAAAAAATTCTATACTTTGACAAGAAATGATTTTACAAATTCATAAACTATTGCAAGACATCCCGAACACTCTTCACCATACACATCATTACAAACAGGCAACATTCATACCCACAAAAAACCAAGCTCCTATATATTTTTTAAATTGCCATTAGTATAGTATGTTAACTGAACAAATACGCAAAGAAAGCAAGATTTGCATCACGTTCTTTCTTTCTCGTTCAAGGCAATTTCCCGCCATTCTTAGAGTGACAAGAAATTTCCATGCAGGGACTTTCATACAGTCGGGCCAATTACTTTAGACAAGAATATTTTATGTCATTGCAATCCAGGAAATTAATAGAAAGCTAATATATATTTACTCAAATAATTTATTATACAGTACTTAAAAACAACAACTGTGTTACCACAAAATATAAACAATTTAAAATATATTAACTATTAGTATATCAAATGCAGGTTTGTATAAATATAATGTAATCACATTGTTAATTTCCTGAAGTACACCGAACAAAAGGCAACATAAAACAGCTAATTAACAAATAAGTTTTGACACATACTGTACAATATACAATGAATACTTAAAATTATATATATATAAACAGTAATTTAACGCAACTGTCATAGGCCAAATGCTATGGTAAACATTTGTTGCAAATATTTACTACAAAGCAGAGTATCACATTTTTTATTTGGTCTTTGTTAATGAATAATTCTTTTGATGGTAAAAAATTATGGAATTACTTAAACAAATATCTTACGAGTGAAACTAATATAAAGATTTAATTCAAAAACATGTTAAGAGAAGAAAAAAAGAGTACAAAAAACTAACAAGGCTATTGGATACAATTTAAAATATTTTGTAATGACTCTGATGCAGAGTTTTAGATAACACAAACCAACGTGAAAAAAAAGTTAAAATTGTTTAAATTAAATTAAAATGAACAGTGTTGTGATTGTATTAAGTGTATAATATGTAAGTAGTGATGTTAAATTCGGTTCATAAATCTGATCGAGTTATCTGTCACATTAGATCCCAATATTCCCGATCGAAGGCCAAAAAGAATATCCATCAGCGATTAATTTACACTGTAAAAAACAATATTAAATGCAAACTAAATACAAAATATATACTTTTAACATGTTTTTATAAAACAATATTTTCAATTAAAAACTTTTTTAAATTTTTTGTGTCTACAAATTTTAAAAGAGTAGAAAAAAAGTACATATTTGTGTTATATGTATTAAAAGTTTACACAAAAAATTGCTGCTATGTAGTATTTATCTGTATTCACCAGCTGGCTTACTATATTAAAGGTAAAATGCACAACTTTTAGTATCAAATACAACAAAACATATTGCATATAAAGGCATTGGCCCATTGTAGGTCTACAGGACATATTTCTCTCAACACTCAAGTTTCTTCTTGGTAACTTTTGGTCATGTGAAATTTTCCTCGTAGCCAATCAATGTTTCAACAAAATCTCTCATAACACATGGTGATTAACGTTAAAGATACAATATAAATGTCAAAAATTCTTTGAGATTAGCGATGTAGTAGGTTTTGACGAAAAAAATATTGGAAAACATGAGATTTAGGAATAAATTAATAAAAAAGTGTACAAGAGCCTCTTCTCCATGAAAATCTACTACGATCACTATGCTTCAGACTAGTTTGAGAGCCAAAATAAAAGCATCTCTCCATTTTGGCCTTTTTAAAAACATTTTTTTAAAAAAGTACCGGACCAAAAAAATTTAGTTTCCTTACTTCCTATTTTCTACATTAATTTAATATATTATATATAACAATACCAGTTGGGCGTGGCTTTAGATAACAGTTTTACAAAAGTTCAGCTCTCAGATATAAGAAAGATCAGCAATTCTTATAAAAAAATGCAAGAAACAGAACATGCATACCTGTTTCATAAGCATTACAAACAAAAATGCATACAAATCATATGAAATTCAATTTTAATGATTTGGTGTGGATTTTAGTAATTACTCTTGAATTTCTAATTATATATATTGACTGGTGTAGAAAACTTTATTCAATATCACAACAAATAAATAGCTTTAGCTTTTGTTGCAAAAAAGAGTATATTTTTTATAATTTGATCGATAGCCTTCTATTTTTATTCAAATCAGCAGTTTCAAAATATAAAATATTGATATGTTATTAACAGGTTTATCGAAATCAGTAGACTTTTCTGCAACCAAAGTTAATATTGATGTAAAAAACAATAGATATACTTAATTTTAATGTTGAATTAATTTTTTACATTAATATTACAAAAATTAAGTCTTAGTAGTAAAACAAGCAAGCCAATAATTATTGTCTACGTTATATTTAGATGTAATGAACATATTACAATACCAATAGAATCTAAGGAAACAAAACACGTTATAATAGTTTCTATCAAAATATCCAAAGATTTCTAATGTTTCTGATAAATTATTCTAACTGCATCACAAGATTATTTTTAAATAGAAAACAAACTGTACAAATTTTAAAAGACATGTTTTGGTAAAGTAACTTATGTGTCAATAAAAACCTATTTAATTCATTTTAAATGTAATAGATCATGAAAAATTTAAAATTAACATTTTACGGATATTGTTTCCATCACTAAGTTGGAAACTATGAATTTTCTGTCAAACGTGTTTTCAGCTTGAAAATTAAATGATATTAACGAGAATATTTAAAAGACCACTGCTTTTCTTCAGTAATAACCAGTTTTTAATATATTTTTTGTCTGTATACTTTGTATAAGAAATAAGGAATCTTTCTTATGCTAAATTAATGTAAAAGTGAAAACTAACGTCACACCCAGTAAAATGAATAGTCACGTTTTTTGCTTGTCGCACTGTTTTAAAAAAATCCATCGATCTTCACCAATGGCACACTATGCTAAGTGTTACACACAGTTGGACACATAAATTTTTTCACGTTTTTATGTGAGTTTATTCAGCTTTTTCTCTAAAAAGACCCGTGGACTAAACGGTGACGGACAGATCACATTTTCACATTTTTTGGTCCCGGCTGCGGCTGCATTTGGTTGGAGACAGGTTTTTTCTTGTTTTCAATCTGTTTTAATACATGTTCTTTACAAAATGTATGTTTGTACTACCGTGTTATCATAAAACACAATTGAAAAACATACTGCTAAAAAGTAATGCAAACACGCTTAAAACAAAGGAAAACATTTTTCCAACCCTGCCTAGAGATAGGCCGGGGGCACCTTTAGCGACACAAACTAGACCAGGGTAAGTAGTACTAGACTAGGTTGTACTCACGAAGATTCGACTGCAATATTGTGTCTTTCACTGCCGCAAACACGAATTTTATATTTTCCGTATCTGTAAAATGAAATACACATAAATCATAAAGACTTAAAAAATGGACAAGTATTTCTGGAAATTCAAATAAAAATCTAAATCTGAAATATTTCCATTTTAAGCACAAACTTAAAAATCCTCAAAAATAACAGGTCTGCTGTTTTGATGATTTTAACTGATTGATATGGTTTGTGAAGCGCTGAATGAAAAAATGAACTTTGTTTTGCAGCAGCCTATCAAGTTTTTTCACAATTTGTATGTTTTTCCCAACGGTATTACACAAAACTAGATATAAAGAGGGCATATAAAAAATTGTGAAGTCATGTTTATTATTTAAAGATTGATTTCCAAAAGAGCTTTTGAATTTACCTAAAATCGTTTCTTTACTGTGATGCTCCCCTTGGTACATTTTTACTTATAAATAGTATCTAGGATATCCCCTATAGCATCCAGCAGTAGTGTGCTATGATTGTTATGCTCAATTTTCCTTTATATCTTCAAATCAAAACTTTCACCACAACTTCCATAAATTCGAACAATCCTTATGTTCAAAGATCTGTCTGATGTTGGCAAACCCTTAATCTGCTTTAAGTCTTCTTATACCTGGCTGAACAAATATCATCACTGGCTTGACAACTCTTTTTAGATCTTGTACCGTTCGAGGATTCTTCTCCATTCTGATCTGATTGGTGGTTTTTTTCTCCAATTTTATATTTCTAAGGTTGTTATATAATTTATATAATTTTCGATTTGTTCCATGCATCTCACCTACGGCCTTCCTCTTATTCTTTTTCCTACTGGTACTTGTTTATTTTGTTTCACATTCACCTTCTTCCAGTCTTTCCATTTGTCCCATCCAATGCAGACGTCTTATTTTAATGAATGTTAAGATATTCAGATCATGGTATATTTCGTATAGTTAAAAGTTGTATCTTCTTCACTAAATTCCATTTTCTTTTTTACTTTTCTATGTGTCACAAGTTATTTCAAAGATCTTTCCTAATTTTTAGAGAGTGCCCAGGTTTCTGAACTGTATGTATCAGTCTTATTAAGGTTTTGCACATTTGGCATTTTGTTTTTCTTACGACGTTATCTGATCTTAGTTGCTAATTAAGCCATGGTAACATTTATTCGAATATTGAATATTCGCCTCTTCACTTTCTCTGCAACGTTGTTATCGGACGTAACTAGGATCCTAAGTATGTAAAATTTTTTGTTCCTCCTGAATGTTATATTCCCCATTGTTAGATTTTGTAGCTGCTGTATTTCTAAGTTTTTACTTGAATGCATGTATTTTGTTTTGTTCTAATTAATTTTAAGACCACTATTTTGGGCAGCTCTTTCTATTTGATTGAATGCCTCTATCATTTCTTTTTGACAACTTTTTGATGTCAACATCATCTGCAAATGCTAGTACTTGCACACTTATTAATTATTATTAATTATATTAATTATTGCTGTCTGTATAATATTAATTATTGCTGTCTGCCGAAGTCACATTGTTATTTTCCAATTATTTTTTCACCGTGTGGTTTTGGTTTTTCAGAAATGACGTTAGACATTATTTTGCAGTGCTGCGTTCAATACTTCCGCTATTCTATTCCGCTGGTAACTGCTTATTCAACCATATCTTTGTTATCAGCTCATGTATTGCTTTTAGTAATGCGACTAAACAAATATATATACCTTCCTTTAATTACGTCTCTGAGAGTATTGGATACTTTTTGTTGTCGTTGTCCAAGTAACATATTTTCTTATTAATCTGGTGTTCCCAATTTTTAATGTAGACAGGCCCTCTGCATATATCTGTATCATTAATCATTAAGTATACAGATATATGACACCTATAGTTTAAGATAGAAGAGCTATACTAGACAGATTACTACTTGTGGTTTCTTAGTGCCTCCAAAACTCTACTGCATTGCAAAAGATATTAAACATTGTCGAAAGTTCCCCAATTCTTATGGCTTTAACTGTTTGCTTAAGATTAAAAAAAAGTGGTGTTTAGTAGTTCTAATCGAATAAGTGTAAATTAAAAATCCATTTGAATAAACTCAGATTCAAGATGGCCAGCGAAATTCAATACCGCGACCAATCCAACGAGGGAAAGTTGAAATAATACTATAGAGTCAGTTGAACATTTAACACTTTGACTGCCATGAGAAGCATGCCGTGATGCACGGCCAATTTGATTCTGTTGCCGCGAGAATCAGCTTTTGATTCTCGCTTGTATGTTATTTATATGGGATAGAAATATGTCCGGCTGCAAGGACCCTTTTTTTTCACTATGGCGGCAGTCTAAGTGTTAAAGAAGGAGGGATGAAGTGGACGAGGCCATGGAAAGACGAGACCTTAGAGATGGAGAATGTCGGAACAGAAAGGACTAGAGACGTTGGCTGAAAGAAGGAATGCGGCAACAGCTGTAAAAACCCTTATATAGATTTATAAAATGTACTTTTAGCTTCTGTATCAGTCTGTAGGAAGATCACTAAGAGTATGGATCGGAATGTCTAATGTAAGGTTGCACTGAACTAGTTTTTGTTGAAAATAGAGCACTGGCAGCCATGAAGATATGTTAATGATATTTTAGTCAACGATGTTTTCTCATATTCATACTTAACAGATAACCACTGGATTCACATGCAAGGCAATGTGAGATTATATTCCGCAAGTGTGTTACAGAATAGTTATCTCAAGTTTGAATTCAAAAATTAAATTAGTCAGCAATGTTCACCTGGTGAAAATCCTATTGAGCATTTACAATTTATGTGTAAGACCACTTATGAACAAAAAATACTTGGTGGCATGATTACAGAGGAATAGTAACATGCCCCATATTCGAAAGCTCATTCGTGGATTACCCTAGAGAATAGAAGCCATAGTGTAAGATAGACAAATCCAGACATATGTTACAGACACTTGCATGAACTGAAAATCCTAACAGTAGACTTTTGCCAGATGGTTACACAAACTTTACTTTATAATCAAAATTAAAAAACACAAGGAAAACGTACGTCGCAATTCAATAATTCATAATTTTTAAAGAATCCAGATGTAGAAAAAAATGAAGAAATAATGTATAGGGAATGAACCAACCTTGCATAATATGGAGAATTTTTGTGTGAAATCCAAAAGCTGTATTTCACCAGTGTTGTAAACCTAGATAAATAGTACAAATAGAAATCAAAACGAACCTGTACCTGCCAAAATACTTAAATAACAAAATAAATAAATAAATGAATACAGAGAAATATTATTGTGAACATTTGTCCCTTTAATAAAAGTTCATGGATGTTATAAAAATGTAAAATATTAAATTATTAAAAAAAAAAATTTCCAGAAATATTTGTTTTATTAGCTCAATTTCATGCAGCAGAAAAAGTATGAAACAAGGTAAATCAATTAAAATAAGTAAATAATGTAAGGTATTACCTTAAGCCAAATTAAATTCTTTAAGTGCTGTCTGCATAATAGTATCTTTGACAGCACAAAATACTAGTTTTATATTTTCAGTATCTATATAGAAAAAGAAAAATATCCAATCCAAAGAGAGCATGCATTAACACAAGAAAAAAATATTAAAATCACTTATACATTTTTTTAAAATAGAATAACCTATAAAGCGGAAAGCTGTAAAATATCTGCGTCCCTAGTAACAAACATAGTAAAAATTTGAAGTGTTGAAAATCAGTGTTAAATCAATTAATATTCACTTTTTTACTAGAAAAATCTTGAAATATTTTACGGTATAAAAATTAATTGCAATTTAGTTAAACCTATTAACATATACATTTACACTATACATACTTTTAAAAATTTAATAAATAAGAGCTATACTAACATTAAATGAAAGAGATTTTCATTTTCTAATAATGAAAGAGATTCAGTTCTAAACAATTAAGCTAGATAAGTAGTTCATGTTATAATTGTATAAAAGTCTACAAAGGTCTCTTAAAGTTGTTAATAACATGATAATGATACAAAAAGGAAATAATGTTCGGTAATTTAAAAAAAAAGAGATTTTTTTGAAGGATGGAACAGGAGATGTTCCTCCTCCTTCTTCTTCTTCTCGTGCCACTCCTAGCGGAGATTGGAAATCATCATGGCCACTGCGACTTTGTTAGCAGCGCGCCTGAAAAGTTCAATCGAACTACACCCGAACCATTCACATAGATTACGAAGCCGCGATATTTTTCTTCTTTTTTCTTCATGTTCCTCCACATTATATCAAACCACTGATATATAGGATGCAACAAAACATAGAATATTTAATGCCAATCAACGCAAGGAAAAACATTTTACTTATAATTAAGTGCCGTCTCCCAATCGGAGGTTGGATATCATCATCACTATCTTTACTTTATCTACTGCTGCTCTGAAGAGTTCTATAGAACTACATTTAAACCAGTCCCTTAAATTCTTCAACCATGACACTCTCTTTCTTCCTATACTCATTCCTCCTCTTATCCTGTATTATTAGCCTTAGCAGTTCATATCGCTGTCCCCTCATTGCGTGTCCCAGATATTGTAACTTTCTTATTTTTATTGTGTTTATTATTTCGCATTCTTTGCCCATTTCTCGCAATACTTCCGTGTTAGTTTTCTTCTGTGTCCATGCTATTCTAGGCATTCTCCTGTAACACCACATTTCAAAGGACTGTAAGTTATTTATGTGTTCTTGCTTCAATGTCTCAAGTGCTCAGTGCTATTACTCTCAGTTCTAATCTAAGATCTTTGTTGCAGAGAATTTTTTTCATTTTTACAAACGCATTTCTTGCTATTTCTATCCTAGCTCGTATTTCGGTTGTTTGTTGGTATATTTGTTTTCTTTGTTATTATCATGTATTTGGTCTTTTTATATATTCATTTTAGTCCATATTTTTCACAGAAACTGTTTGTTTTGTTTAGCAGTAATTGGAGTTGTTCAGCAGAGCTTGCCATAATTACAGTGTCATCTGCATATCTTATGTTGTTAATAGATCTTCCGTTAATTATTATTCCTTCACTTTGAGATAGTAGTGCTTCTTCAAAAATGGCTTCACTATACACATTAAATAGTTATGGGGACATAATACATCCCTGCCTAACTCCTCTCCCGATTTCAATTTCTGGAATGGGTTTGTTATCTATTACGATTTGTGCTCTTCGATTCCAGTAAAGGTTTGTTATTATTCGTAAGTCCCTATGGTCTATGTGTTTTGTCTTTAGAATTTGGATTCATTTTTCATGTTCATTCATCACTTTATCAAAATCAACGTAACAAACATGCACATCAACATTTACATCAATGCATCTTTGAGCTAACACATTAAAAGCAAATAACGCTTCTCTGGTTCCTAGTCAGTTTCTGAACCCAAACTATCATCTATTCCTTGTTCCAGTTTTTTATTTATACGACCATATATTATTTTCAGGAATAATTTGAGAATGTGACTTATTAGTGATATTGTTCTGTATTTACTGCAATATTTAGCGTTTGTATTTTTAGGAATAGCACAAAAGGTGGATTCTTCTCAATAACTCTTTTTACCTCCTACGGATTTTGTTGTGTTGTTTGAGTGATGTTTCACTCATCTTTCTAGGAGAAAATCTTCGTCGTCTTTGTATTTTGGCACTAGCATTTTCATATACATATTGATTTTACTGCTTATATTAGATTACTCTGGGTTTTTAGCTGTTTTAAACATTTTTTAAATATTTTTCTATCTATTGCATCAAATGCAGATTTCAAGCCTATGAATGCTAGTTCTGTTTGTATAGAAACATTCTGTAGAATATTTTTCAGTACAAAAATATTATCTGTTACCGTTTTCTGTAGGAAACTTATTATTCTTCTATGTTTGTTTTTTCAATTTTGGCAATTAATTATCCTCTATTATACTACTGGACATATCGCTCTATAGTTATCCTATAGATTGGTAGAATAAGCTTATTTTCTCAATCTTTTATTTTATTGTGTTTCAATGCTTCATCACTTACATATTATCCAAAACCAGTTTGTGCTTCCTATTGACGGAACACAACCAGAAATCGTTTGTTAATATAAAATGCAAAATTTGAATATATATATATATATATATATATATATATATATATATATATATATATATATATATATATATTGTAAAAAACAGTTGTTTGCAATATAAATGGATCCCACCACACGGAAGATAATGAAATATATAATGAGATGTGAGCAGATCAAACATAAAAAAATAAATTGATTCCCAAAATAACTAAATTGATATAGCTATTTAAGCAGTTATTGGTCGTTCTGTGTAAGTGACCACGTTTCTGACCCGTATGTTAACACTGGCCTTATTAGTGTTTTACATATGATAATTTTAATTTTTCTGGGTAGTTTTGGAGCGATCTGTTTCCTCAAGCCATAATAGCACTTATTGGCAAACACTATTCTTCTTTTAACTTCTTCGCTGACATTGTTGTCTTTGGTCAGCAGCGAGCCCAGGTAGACGATGATGTCCACACCTTCCAGTTCCAGATCATCAATTAATAGTCTAGGTATCTGGTTGCCTGATCTAGTACAATACATATACTTGGTTTTATGTGCGTTTACTATTGATATTACCAGCTGAAAAATATAAATACATTGTTGGACAATAATAGATAACAGATTAGGAAAACTTAGTAAATACGGAAATATCCTAGGGAGTGGTAAAGTAGATTCAGACGTAACGAGAAAAGTCAAAGGGGACAGGTTTTAAGAAGTATTCCAATGTATTGCTTGAAAAAAGCAAATACTAAAAATTTTTATTTTTCGTAAATTGATAAAAATATTCGGTATTTATAGATTTTTATATATTTTACATCATTTTTTTATGAATAAACTTTCAAATAATTTTATTATGTTTGTACTCTGGACACTAACACTAATATTACTCTAGCAATACCTGTGGCACAAGTAAAATGTGAGTATATGATTTTTTCACTGTCGGGATTCAGGTCTACAAACATTCTTAGGATAAATTCCCTAGCTGCTATCGCATCTCGTTGTGGACCTAGACAAAATTAGTTTAAAAATTTGCTCTACTCTACATTACTATAATAAATATATACCATTTGGTCAGAAGGTGCTAACTGCATATTTAGCCATTTTGTGTTTATTGTACACAAATAATCAAAACAACATTCTTTATCGTTTAAGCAGACGCTGCTAACTGTAGGACGAATATAATTTGATTGACAACGTTGGTTATTTAATGATATATGCATATTTTTTTGTTTATGTGTGATCAGATTATCATAAGTATTCTTGTCACACAATGATCAAAATACATTTTTCATTTTTTATGGTCAAATAGTGATAAGTGTTTATATCAGATAATGACTAAATAACTGTTAATTTTATTACTGAAGTCAAAAAATGTTAAGTGTTTATATCATCACATGACCAAATTGACATTACAGACTCTTTTAGGTAGAAACTGTTATATGATTCATAGCAACAACTGACCAAGCGAAAAGTAATGCCATTCGCGAAATATTTTGCCGCGCACTGTGAGTTATCATTTCTCTTGTGCTTCTTTACATATTATATGTTTACTTGTTTGTGTTAGTTAAAATTAAAATGTCTAGTAGCCGAACATTAAAAATTCTTGATTTATGTCCCAAATCACCGTCTAGTACCAGGGAAACTAAAAACAAGGCGTTTCAAGTAAGTACAGAAATTATAACCTATAATTTTTTTTATTAAACAATTCACGATGTGACTAGAATAACTAGTCTTTAAACATTGTTAATATTATGGACATTTTAGAAATTGGGATTGGTTTTAACATAATTTCTGTGAATAGTAGTAATTACTAGAATATTATGAGAGATACATATTATATTATAAAGGATATCATACGTTTTTAACTTTTAAAATATTTTTAAAACTCGGGATCTAACGAAACAGTGTAAACACAAAAGTTGTTTCTATTGAATAACTAAATTTTGTTAAACGATTAACACTTATACAGAGTGTTCCAAAAAAGCATGACAAATATAAACGTTCGTATTATAAATGCAATACTCTGAAATCGTTGCGTTTTAAATTCTAATTAAAATTAAAGTTCCATGAAAATAAATATGTCCTGTACCTTTCCTTAAGGGCCCTTGATATAGATCAATTTTAACATTGCAATTTTGAAAATTTTATAAAAACAAACGAATACGACTAGGACAACATGGCTTGCACTTTTATATCTGAATGTTTCATTATGTATAATATGATGGTATTTATTTTGTTTCAATTTAAAATAAAAATATTTTTATATTACCCTGAAATAATATTCTATTAATTCTTGTCATATACGTTTGAGGTCCTTTAGATGTATTAGTGTTGTTAATAGAGATTTTAATTATTTATCTAATTATATCAATTAAATAAAGTTTCTTGAGGGCGGTTTGTATAAAACGTAATGAAAGGTTAATGTAACATTTCTGTTTTTTTTTTCACAAAAAGAATTCTCTATAAAGAAAAATACGTTTGTGATTTTGTTTCATTTATGAGT